TGTTAGTTATCTTCTTGCTTGTGTAGCATAGAAGTAGCTCCCTTGCATAACTAATTGGCTTGAGTAGCCTTGTTAGTCACATTACTTAGTTTGTGTAGCTAGGTAATTTACGCTCTCTAATTTGGCTTGTGTAGCCTTTTTATTAAGCATTGCTGGTGAGCTTAGGAGCTTTGTGCTTTTGCTTACTAGTTTGTGTAGGAGCTCCCCCGGTTGCTAAAATACTAGTTGCATAGGTTTATGTGACTTTGCTACTAGAATTATTTAGGTGAGCTCTAGTTAGCCCGGCACCTTTGTTGCCTTATTAGGATCTTTTTAAGGTGCTTGAAAATTTAGATAGAGGGGTGTAGTCTTGGTTAGACCGATAGATTTAATTCCACATTTGTTTCGGTTAGTCGGCGCAATTATTTTTAGAAAGGACTATTCACCCCCTCTAGTTTGCCATCTTGACCCTACATCGATGATGAAGGTACCTTCTCTAGACTGTTGGAGAAAGTTATGTTGATGTCGCTGAGGTTGATGACAAAGGTTTCTTCTGCAGATTGTTGGAGAAGGTTATGTTGATGTTGCCTAGGTCGATGACGAACGTACCTTCTCTAGACTGTTGCAGAAGGTGATGTTGATGTCATCTATGTCGATGACGAAGGTTCCTTAACTTGTTCATTGCGGAGGTCGATGATGAAGGTACCTTCTCCAGAATGTTGGAGAAGGTACGTTGATGTTGTTGGGAGTCGATGACGAAGGTTCCTTAACTTATTGATTATGGAGGTCGATGATTGTAACATCCCTGAAAAATCCAAAGAATAAAAAATGCCAACTTTCAAAAAATTTCCTAACAAACCCATGATTGGGAGTGATCATGCTAGGAAAACCCCTATAGTTGCACAAGTAGACCCCGAATAGTGGCATGTGTGAGCATATGCATTTTAAATAAACCTTGAGTTGCTTCTTTTGGGTTTTATGTTTGCTAATAAAATTTGATCAACATTAAAATAAATAAAACTTGTGTTTGTGTGTGCACCTTTAACCTAGCCAAGCTTGGACCCATGTGAACCTATTGGACCCACCTAGGGTGGTATACATGCTTGGGATACATGTATACAAGTATAAGGACATAGGGTGGAAATTAGAAAATAGAAATTGGGTTTAGAAATAGAAAAGCAAAGAGAAGAATTAGGAAAAAGAAATATCAGAAGCAGCCTAGCCAGCCGAGCGGCCCAGCTACCCCCTCCCCCGCAGCCCAGTGCCTCACCCATGCCCTCGCCCGTGCCCTCGCCCACGCACAACCAGGCCGTAGCCCATTAGCCCAGCACCACACCCGCGCCTCACTCCCCCTCTCTCACGGCGTCGCTGACAGCGGGCCCCATGGACCCCCTGTCATTCTCCACCCCCTCCCTCTTTTGCGCCAAGGCAGAGCAATGGTGTCATGGAGGAATCCCAGCTGCCCGCTCACCCCAGCCATCCGTGCTCGGGTCGTTGGCCACACACGCGTGGATGAACGCCACGTCCGCGATCCGCTGCTTCCGTGCCCTTCCCTAGCTCGCACCTGTGCCGTGCTGACGTCGCCACTGTGGCCCGCACCGTGACGCCACCCCATCCTTCCCTTGACCATCGACGTTCAAATTTGGACGCGCTAGGGCGTTCGCGTTCACCCGCCGAGCCCTGAACCCTAACCTAGAGCCCCTATCCACCCTACATGTACCCTCCTACCTCTCCCCGCCATCCACCGCTGCGCCATGGACGCCCCACCTATAGAAGGGCTAGCCTGGTGCCCTAGCACCCTTCCAACGCCCCGCCGCCACTGGTGGCACCCCAAACAGCCCACGCCCGAGCCACAAAAGGAGGAGAAGGAGGGAGGAGAGGAGCCGAGACTACCGGAGTTCCGCCCGTGGCCACCGTAGACGAGGACGACGCCCCGATCTGGAACGAAATCCTCGGGTGATTCCTAGTGCGTCGGATCCCTGCCTATCGCCCACGCGTTCACGAGTACCATGGAGCCACGGGGCACGTCGTAGCCAAGCACCTGACACGGGCTGCGACATTCCCGCGACAGCAGCAATGGTACCGGCGGGTGCAGCCGAAGTGCCTCCTTGATGACGAGCCAGAGGTAGTGTAGGGTGCCCAAGCTGTCCTCGGTCACCGTGTCTGTTGGAGCCGAGCCACTCTAACTCTCGCCGGACGGAGATAGAATATGAACAGTAAACAAGATAGATTTGCCGGTGGGAAACGCCTTTGGCTTCTATTATTTAAAACAATTCATCCAACCCTTACAAGCTGGCTTTAAAGCCCAGCGTCGCACTGCCGAGCAACAACCTGCTGGCCGGAACTCATTCGTGCGCGTGCACATCGACATGCCTGCACAGGCCACACCTCATGCATGCACCACATGACTCACACTCCACGGTCCGGTCTCCAAGTTGACAGCCACGTCCCCTAACAAACTAATGCCTATCTAGTTTTTTCACAAGAACGCATCTCGTTCAACTACATAAAGCCTTACAAATATGTGACTCACACGTACTCTAATAATAGAATGTGACTGGCATGACACAAACTAAATTAAGTCATGATTATTTCCAAATAGATGTCAACATCCTCAGAAAAAGTAACAAAAATTTTGACTTGCGCACTCAATGCTTCATCACATAAGGGTCGGCTCGTCATCGACACGTCACACACACGACGGACTTAACCTGGCCAATGGACTCCAAAGCGAGTTCGAACACGCATGCCATTGACGACTCAACCTGACACACACACGCGTCATGCACATACATGACGTGGTTTATGCTAACAATCTCCCCCTAAACCATAGCATCACTGTGTGTCCCGCCACACAGGAGCATCAGTTCATCGACGGCGTTGCCAAACAACGCCTCCTCCTTCGTTGGCTTTGGGCATTCCCTCGAGAAGTGGCAGCTCACCACAGCCGAAGCACTTGTGTCTGGAGTTGTGTCGACTCTTGCTCGCGCCCGATGCGACGCTACACCTCCCATCGTCGACGGCTTTGGGACTTCTACCGTGCCGCCGATGATGCGCTCCGCCATGACCGTACGTGGTGCGCCATCGTCAAGGCTGCTGGGGCTCGAGTCTCCGACCTTCTCCGACGTCGACATTTTCAGCTTGCTCTGCTCTCCCTAACCATGGATCTGATGCCAATTGTTCTTCTACGAGAACACATCTCGTTCAACTACATGCAGCCTCACAAATACGTGACTAACACGTACTCTAATAATAGAACGTGACCTGAATGACACAAACTAAATCAAGTCATGATTATTTTCAACATTGCCTCCCCTAATCTTGACTTGCGCACTCAACGCTTCATCACAGAAGGGTCGGTTCGCCATCGACACGTCGCACACACGCGCCATGGATGACTCAACCTGACACACAAGCCATGCACGTACATGACGTGGTTTTATGCTAATAGCGTCGTGGCTGGCGAGTGCCCTCCGGACCTCGTCCTGCGCCTTCCGCAAAACCGACGGGTCCGCATCATCTCGACCATCGCCCACAGCAGCGTCGTTGCCGACGTCTCGCTGCACGCACTCAACAGATCCTGCGAAAGCAAATGCCTTTGAACGAGGGACGAATGCAATCCGTGACGATCCGGCGAGAGTCCTCGGGTAGCTGTACTTACAGAGATGACGGCTTTGATGTTGTCAGTGGTGAGAGGGTCCTGAGAATCCATGTCCTTCTGGAGCCTCAGCAGCACGTCAAGCAAGTCCTCGTCTTCGTCGACGCTTCCGGGCTCCGGCTGATCTCCTGTCCTGGTGCTCTTGGATGATATCGTCGAGGATGGCGATCATGGCGCTGCAGCGGCGCTCGATCTTGCCGGGGACGCGGCTAACGAGCATCGCGAGCCGTGACGACGGGAAGAAGTCCGGTAAGCTCAGCCCCGGGATGACCTTGAGCGCCTCCTCCAGGAGCCGCAGCAACGCGTCGCGGTGCTGGCTCCGGCCACCGATGATGGCGCGCACCGTGGTGTCAGCGGTGAACGCCTTAAGCCGCTTGGTGAGGTTCACCGGCTTCCCCGCGGCGCGACGGAGCTGAGGAGCCGGCGGACCTCGTGCTCTCGGATGGGGCGGAAGGAGTGCACGCGGCGAGCGCTGAGGAGCTCGACGGCGCAGATCCTGCGCTGCGCAGCTGCCGCCACCCCTCGCCGTAGGGCGCGAAGATGACGCCCTAGGCGCCCCGCCGGAACACGAGCTGCAGCATAGGCCCGACGGGCCGTGACACTAAGTTGACGGCGTGCGTCTTCAGGATCTCGCGCGCCGCGTCCGGGGAGCTCGCAGAAGCGCAGCAGCATTAGCGGGCCGTGGTGCAGGTGGCCGATGACCGGCAGCGCCCACGGCCCTGGTGGGAAGCGCCGCTGGGCATCCCTTCCGCGGCACAGCGCGAGGAAGACGAGTGGTATGGCTAGCAGGGGAAGCAGTAGAAAGTATGGCTGGAGCTCGACGGCCATGCCAAGCTCGAGCTCTGATGTCTGGCGTCGGAGTCAGGAATAAAGAACACGTACACGCTCGCTTTGTAAGCATCAATCATCTCCGAAATGCCAGACACATCAACTTTCGACAGAAGTGATCGAAGAAATGAAAGTGAATCATGAACAATCGTTTTGGGTAAAGACTTTAGGTTGGCCGGGCGTGCGCACAGCAGAATCGAACCGTAGAGCTAGCCTGTTGGCTTCGTCGGAAACGAACTTGGATTATTTACCGCTCACCGGTTCGGTTCGGTAGCTTATAATCCACGATTATATACGAGCAAAGTGAACAGAGGAAAGGGACGCACGTCTGTTCATTTCTCCACCTCCCCTCTCTCTCCTCCTCATTCTCTTTCTAGGTCTTCTCTCCGGTCCCCAATCCGCCGCGCCTCCCTGATCTTCGCGGCCCGCGAGCCGGCGACCCCTCGGATCCGCAGACCCCGTACCACCTCCCGCCAACCCACTGCTAGAGGCCTTGGCTCCGCAAAATCCTTCGACATCGTCGGTCGCAGTAGCCATGGCGGCCGCAGAGGAGAACACCGGCAACGGGAGGTCCTGGGCGACGGCGTCCCGGGACGGCCGTAACTCCACCCACTCCTGGCTCGTCTGTGCAGATCGAGCCACCCTGCCAACTTCGGCTCCGGGCACTGGCAGCGGCCGGCGCGTGGTGCTCAGCTTCGGCTCACCGCAGCCGTCGCCGCCGTCGTCGTTTCCAGTGCCGCCGCGAGTCCTTCGTTGACCATGGTAAGCGCCTCTCAACAGATCTACGTCTGTTGGTTTACCAATGCGTCTGCTCCACCCGCGTCTTCTAACGCGATTTTCCACCCCTCTGTCGCAGATCATCTCCAAGAAGAACCGCCGCGAGATCTGCAAGTACCTCTTCCATGGTGAGCTCCTTCTCCCTTTTCGGTCCCCTAGGCGCGCCCAGTATGTTATGCAGGTTGCCATTCCCATTCGCGATTAGTTCATTAGATGCCTGCTGCCTGCTGATGGGTTTTCCCCCAACCGATGAGTTCTCAATTCTCAGCAGCAGGGTTGTTGCACCCAGTAGAAGGTAAATGAGTAAAATGGGAGCTCTTGATTGCAACCCAATTCCGAAATGCTTGTTTGCTATATTTTGTGTTTCCTGTAGAGGGAGTGACTCAAACCGGATGCCATGTGATGCAAATGCGATTAAATAGTTCTGATGTTAGTTGTTTTTTATTATCGTCTACCAATTTAGACATTATAAGCATTAGCGATATTCGGATTATGTACGACCCCAAGTTTAGTTTGAGGGTACATGTAAAACTGTTGTACTTATGTTGTAGAGGGGGTCCTGTATGCCAAGAAGGACAACAACCTGTCCAAGCACCTGAAGCTTGATGTGCCCAACTTGGAGGTGATTAAGCTCATGCAGAGCTTCAAGTCAAAGGAATGAGACCTTCTTCTGGCAGTACTACTACTGGTACCTCACCAACAATGGCATTGAGCACCTCTGCAGCTTCCTCAACCTGCCATCAGAGGTTGTGCCTAATACCCTCAAGAAGTCCTCCAAGCCCCCGTCTCGTCCCTTCAACTCTATCCCACCGGGTGACCGCCCCAGGTAAAATAGTGGCCATCAACTCCCTTGTGTACATCTATCTGGAAATCTGTTGATATTTTTATGAGGGAATATCTAGGTCATACCTATGGTTTATGTACCCTTAGATATTTACTTCAACAATATGTCTGTTATAGTATTATCTTGAGATTTGTTAGTTTCTTTACCTAGCAGTTACATTAGAGTTGTGGTTTCTACTTCTGTATTCTGACAGCCAGTGTTTGCATAATGCAAATTGAACTAGGTATTGCTGACTGTTATTTTGAGTCTGAAATGGATAATCTTTGTGAATTGTTCTAGAGTCCTCACAATTCTGTTTCATGTGCACCTAATTTAGAAATTGCCATCTGACTTCTACATTCATTTTGTACATTATATTACATATTCCTGGATTGCCAATAGAATTTCCCAGTGAAGCCATGGTTACTCACATATTCTAGTTACTCACATATTCTGTTTATCACATATTCCAGAGTCCTCACATATTCTGTTTACTCTCATATTCTGTTGACCTTGATCTGTATTTTTGCCCGTTACACAAATAGGTGCGATGCATAAAAATGAAAATAGAGCTATGTATTTTTATTTTTCTGCAAATAAACCGAGGGGTGGGGCTGGGGCTGTGGGTTGCAAATGAATACAGACACTATACTTGCTTTTTCAGAATACATAAATTGCCTATTTGGGAAGACATTGTTGCCTGACGAATGACACTTAAATTGCCTAAGAAAATGTAATCCACTACAGCATTGCCTAAGAAAATGCAGCTTGGTGTGCTTTTCTTGGATCCCTGCTTTCTCTGTTGATTGGTTACTCCAGTTCTTATCTGCAGGTCATAGCAACTGCAGCCTTAGCTAGGCTACCATTGGGCAGCATAAGCAGCATTTTGGCACTGCATAGCTTAGCTATGTTTTCTTCAGATTTGAGCAGCGGCTTGCCATGTTCTCCCTAGCTTCTTTGTAGCTACTTGGTGTTTGTATTGATTTATTTATCCTTTGCCTGACCTACTAGCTTTTTTTGAGTGCTTGGTAATTTTGTAGCAGCAGCAGCAGTTCTGCAGAAATATTAGCTGTCCAACAACAGTTCAGGAGTTTAGGTAATGTTTCTCTCAACAGTTTTTAGTTTACCAGCAGTAGTTCAGTGGACCAAAATTGATGTGCTTTGTGATCATTCCTTGCTCTCAGCTAAGATTCAATAATTTTTATTCACTAGCTAACTGCCCGAGCGGATGTCGCTGTGTTCTAGTCCTTTCCACCATCGCCTTGCCCGAGTGGATCAACTTTTAGTTGCTTTTTCAGTGCTTCGTGCTCATGCTTAGATGCCTGCTGCTAATCCTGCCTTGATCCATATTGTGCTCTGTAGATTTAGCAAATTGCATCATATCCATGCTGTCATTTGGTAATCTGCTGCCTGAACTCGATCAGGTAGAAGGTAGTCATCTTAGGGGTTGGCTAGTATCAAGGATTCCTGTTAAGTGATTCTAGATACCTTCTGATGCTACCTATAAAATGGATAAAACAACTACTAAGCTTAGTAGTTTCAGATGTGATTTATGAACCTCCACTAAGTAGTATGAATGGATTCAGGATGACCTTTTACTGACATGATTACACATGGTTTGAGTCCTGCTAGTCTATCTGGAAATATGGAGCCTCCTAATCAAATACTGATGGTTTTCCTTACATAGAGGATACTGAGGGATTGTGGTTGTTTATTTTAGAAAGATGGATCATGTGAGAAACATATATGCTGTACTGGGGAAAGCAGATATGCACTTAGGTGCCTCTGCTATGTATATGTCAGACTTATCGGAACTGCCTGCTGCAGCAAGCGTTGTGGCTGCTGCTGCTGCAAGCCTGCCTACATTTACTATTCTTTGTAGTAGAAAATAAGCAGTAGCAACTGCTGTAGCTACTTCAAAAGCACAGCTGAGCAGGTCCCATGAGTTGCACAAAACGACCTGATCCAATCTCGATGCATTGTAAAATCTTCTTTTTTGGTACTCATCATTTTCTACTTTGAACACAGATTTTGTTTTTTATTCTCTTAACCTGCACCAACATTTTTAGGGACTAAAATGCTTTTTGTTGCTGTTTTGGTCACTCTAGGTGTATGCTTGGGGGAGAGGAGAAAATACTGTTCAGGTACTACTGTTCAAGACTAAAATACTTTGTTGCTGTTTGAACACTATACTTGCTTTTTCAAAATACAAAAGTTGCCTATTTAAGAAGATATTGTTGCCTAATGAATGACACTTAAATTGCCTAAGAAAATGCAGCTTCTTGCAACCGGCTGCTGCTATTTTGGCTGCAAAAGTAAACTAGACTATACTGTAGGTATAACTGCAATAAGCTGCGGCCACAGCCAAATAATTGCAGACGAGCAGGCTGATTACCATATTTTCTTCGTGTGAGTTTCTGATTTCTAAGCATACATGGAAATACTGGATGCCGTACATTATCGAGCTAGTTATCCTTGTTCAATTGTCATATTGTAGGCATTTTAACTGTAATGTTTTTTGCTTTCTGCTATGTACAAATGCAATGATAATAGCTTTTTCTGTGCATGCATTTTACATGGATAGTTCTTCATACAATGCCTAGAGGGCAGAGGTTTCATGGAGTGTGTGCGCCATCGTCCAAATGGCGGCAACGAGGTATGATCACACACACGCAAAAGAAAAACACAAATCATTTTCTTAGACAATTTAAGTGTCATTTTGTTAGGCAACTTAAGTCATTTGTTAGACAACAATGTGCTCCTAAATAGGCAATTTAGTCTTTTGTTGCTAATCTGGAGGTAGTTCTACTATTATGATGATCCTTTCTGTTCAACCATTGAATTAGTCTGCCTTTTGTACAAAAACTAGTTATTGACATCATCACCCTGCCTCTGTTTGATATGTATTTTTGCAAATAAACCGGGGGTTGGAGGTTGGGGTGGGGCTATGGGTTGCAAATGAACACAGACATTATACTTGCTTTTTTCGAATACCAAAATTGCCTAATTAGGAAGACATTGTTGCCTAATGAATAACACTTACATTGCCTAGGAAAATTGAATCCACTACAGGAACCTGCTCATCACCAATAGAGGCTCCATGAACATAAGCATCCTTTTTTTTAGCTCCTTCCAGCAACAAAATTATGACACATGTTATCTTTTTTTTAACATGCAGGAATGCAGGCCATGTAGAGAGAAGCAAGATCCGGGCCAGTATAGAGAAGATGTGCAAATGTGTGGGACTAAATGTATAGTGTTGTGCTTTTTTTTGAAAAACTGCAGATGCAAATATATTCTTTTCTGAGATGTGTTCTTTTTTCTGAAAACATTGCCCTTTTGTGAACGTATATATATATATATATATATATATATATATATATATATATATATATATATATATATATATATATATATATATATATATATAGTACCTAAAAGCATACGTTTAGGCCTTATTTGCCTCTTTTTGTGAACGAATAGATGTGCAAATGTGTGGTCGGTATCTGGCCCTGGCCACATCCCACCCAAAACAAACGCTAATTAGCATCCTTGCCGAAAAAGGAATAAAATAATTGCACTTTTTACCAAAAAAGGAAAGGCCGTGCGATAAGCTATATTACGGCCGGCCGTAGTTTAGCTGCTCCCATCGTTTTGATATGAAAAAATTGTCCTTCATGAAACACAAAAAAAAAAAATCCTATAGATTGACGTATGCACTAGCGCCGGACGTCTGGCGCTAGCAGCGCGTCCAGACGCAACTCCGACACTGAACCGTGGGCTGGCATCACTGAACCGTGGGCTGGCATCGGGCGGCATCACGGCCCACCAATAGAACTGTCTTATCTCAGTATCCCGCGTAATCGAAAAACTGAAGGGACCGGCTGGCGTCATGGCCAACCAATAGGACTGTCTCGTCTCAGCATCCCGCGTAACAGAAAAACTGAAGGGACCGAAGCGCTACCTTTCACGTAACAGAAGAGAAGAGCGTGCGCTCACGTCCACGCCACCATCCCACGGTGCGCCCCCGCCGCACCCTTCCACAGTCTGAGAAGGATGCAAGGTAGCAGAAGGTGAGGATGAGACACCAAGGCGAGGCGGCAGAAGACGTGGAGGAAGATATAACACTCGATCTGCTTTTGAAACATTCAGATACAACACTTGCAACATACATATGAAAACAGATGAAACGCTTAAAACTGGCGCTTGCAAAAAACACAAGAAACACTTGAAAAACATTGCAACACATACGCAACATCCAGAGAAACACACTTGCAACATATGTGTGAAACATATGCAACATCCAGAGAAAACACACTTATAACATTGGGAACAAACGTTTGCCCATACGTGTACAACCATTGCAACATATGCAACATCACAATCTACTTTTGTAACATCCTTACGAAATACTTGCAACATACTCTGAAACATCTGAAACACTTGAAACATATGCTTGCAACATGCTTTTCAGTGCAAATGTCACATTGCTGCTTGGACGAATGGAGCTCATCGTTGTAGAGCTCGGCGCCAAACCACGGAGGTCGGTGGGGCGCCGCGGAGCTCGCCGATGCGCTAGCGAGAGTGGCGAAAACATCTTGCATGACGAAGCGAGCACACCTTTCGTGGCTGGGCAAGCACCGCTTCTGAGGCGAGGCATGAGCACCCTGGTGAGCACGATGGTAGGGCGAGCACCTGCAGCTGGCGTGGCGTGGATTGGGAGGAAGACCGCGTTATTGGGAGGAAGGCGCCGCGACGGGGGATGGGGGCGCCCCCACGGCTCGTGGTGGCAAGGGAGGAGGACGGCGCGGTGAAGCCGCACGCTATCGAATGCGTTTTTTTTAGAAAAGGTCGCTAGGCAGTGATGGAGGGGCAACATGTTGCCTTGTTGACGGACACGCCCAGACGGACGCCTTCACCATAGCATTAACGATAGACTAAAGATGCAAACTGAGACTACCTAAGTTGGTTAGGTTCCTTATGGTGGAACATGTCCACCCAGGATCAAGTTCTCGACTTGACACGGGTGCTCACATTTTCCTGACTTTATTTTAGGATTTAACGACGTTATGTTTTCAGTGGTAGTCGACATTTCCGTCGACAGCGAGGCACCTGTGGTGTCTTCATCAATCTCGAGATGTGCCGACACAGTCTTTCGGAGGTACTCATAGAGTAAGGTTTGCATACGTGTATTCATGCGTTTGTACTTGTGTAATTCGCAAAAAAAAAGCAAGACTAAAGATGGGTGGTACTGTGGTCTATATCTTTGTGGAAGAACCACCCTGTAAGCGCATCCCGCACCCTAGAAAAAAGAGAGCAAGTTACGCCACGATTTCTAAACTATCATAAATCATTCTTACCTAGGTCTCCAAACTACAAACACCATGTTCGCTTATTGGTTTTAACTAGACTTTTTCTACCAGCCAACAGTGTTTTCCTCTCACAAAAAACCAGCATCAGCCAGCCTAGATACCAACCAGCGAACATGCCGAAAATCTATATATCTAGAGCCTTTTTGTGACAGAATCTCAAAAATAAAAAAGAGCCTTTTGTGACAGAATGTTGAGCCACGTCTTATGTTGTAACCTCCTTTGTATCAGATAAACTGAGACTGGCAACATATTACATATGCATCCTTATTTTTTGAACACCCTCATGCTTGAGTTCATACGGAATCATTCCTCTGATCTATTGTCCTAATCTTATTTATTTTATTATATTTCGTTTTTAATGTTGGAGCTCTACATTGTTCTGATCAACCACAATACCTTCGTAACACATACAACCTTTTTTGAATACTTTAGGCCCTGTTTGGATCCACAGAACTAACAACTAGTTACTAATTTTTAGTCCCTAAGTATCCAAACAGGTGGAGTAATTATTAGTTCACTAGTCCACTTAGACTAGTTGTTTGTCCTAGCCCATCCAAACAGGTCTTTAAAGAAATCCTCTTTGACACGTCCTTCTACAAACACAACAAACGTACTGTTGCGGAAGAATATAATAATTAGGAGTGCTATCCTTTTAAAAAAATAAAATAAAATAAAAACCGAAGAAGTGCTATCAGCATGCTAAAAGAAATGCACCAGTAAAACATTTCCAGACGAACGGTAATAGCAAAAGTATACAATAACTCAATACAACAACCGTCTGATAGTCTGATAAAAGAAGTGTTACATTGCTATCGAAATTTGAAAATCTTTCAGAATTTTCTTTAGAAATTTGCAGCACAAATCCATAAAAATAGATAACTAAAATTCACATGTGTGCTAATCATCACATCTCACATGCCAGATTGATTCCATTCAAACAACATCGGTCCAAAGTCTCTTGACCATATCTGCTGTTGAGATGATGGTCTAAACACAGATTCAGAAAATGTGCTATTCTACCACATGCTTAACTTAGAAAATTGCCTTTTGAAGACAGGAGACGCAAAGCCTTACTGGCATTCTTCAAAACTGCATTTGATCTTGGAACCCGATTTCTCCTTTGCTCCAAGAAATCAAGGGCATTCTTCACGTGTTGCGTTGACCGGACATCTTTCAGCAGAATAGTTTCAGGCCTGATAAACACAGCGACCACTGGCATAAGTATCATTTCAGAAACTTTATATTTGACGACAGGAACATTAAACATACCCATCAGTTTTCATTCTCTTCTTCCTTTTCTGAACCTTCTGCTTTACATTTTCTTCCTCAGAATCTGATGCGAAAGTTTGCCTGAGAGTGCGAGATGAAGACAAAGTAACCAATGAAGTTGAAGTCAAAAACAAAGATTTTAATAAAAATTGATTGAGCAAGAGAAGTGCACATACTTCTCACGAGCTGCTAGAATTTCAATTACACTAGTGGGGAGCATTCCAGGCATTGTATTTGTCTCCTCATTCTCCTCACTTTGTTTGGTATCTTCATCTTCTACTTCCTTCGGCGCCTTCTTATCTGGTTTAGAGGATGCTCTTCGTTGGGCCCAACGTTTCCTCCGCTCCTTTCCTTCCCGTGTTGCTCTGCAAGGACACATCCCACATGCCCATATGACATAATTATCTCCACGATACAAAAAACAGATAATAAAAAAAGTCATAGCACCTTGATGACCTCAAGAAAACAAGATTCGGATAGGTAATCCATATGAGTTACACAAAAAGGTTACCCACAAATCAATAACAGTTATACCATTGGATTGGATGGCCAAGGAACACACCATGAGTAATACACAAAACTATATAAACATCTAAAACAAAGAAACTGTAAACGTTAAAAGCTCTACATTTAGGCATAAACATTACTAACAAATATGTACAAGGAGTTACTTTTCCCTGATTATTGAGCATCTCAACTACATTAGGTTACCGTCCAAAACAAAATTTGTAATGGCACTTGCATCTACTGAAACCAAGAGAACCACTAAGGAATCTAGCATAGTCCACGAAGACAAGCAGAACTAGTCTCCATAGCAAGCATCAAGTGGCATCTACTCGCGTACAGTCTACAGAAACAAGAACAGATCAAAGTAGCACATTGGGCAGCAGAAGGTCCATCCAGTCATCAGCTGTAAAGTAAGCATAAGAAACACACCTGATAGCACTGTCCTTCTCAACTTTACTGATCTCTTCGTGCTTCTCAACACCCTAAAAGACAATAACAAGGCACAGCACTCAGTATTTTCTACATATATCAACATGGATCTTGAAGTGTGAAGAACAAACAGGATGACCGGCAAGGCTAGCTAACAACCCTAATCCAACCAAAAAAAAAAGTACTCGACCAACCAAATCGACGGCACAGAGCTGTATAATCCTCTTACGGGACTATCTGCGCATATATCCATCGTCTGCTTGAGCGGAATACACAAGCAAATCGTAACTCTCGGGTCCTCGAGGGGAGAGGACTAGACGTACCTGGACGGCGGTGAGCTCCTCTGGGGCGCCGTCGGAATCGCTTCCGCTGTCCATTTGAGCCGGCTCCTGTCTCTTTTCCCTCTTTTCTTTCACCGGATGAGAGCGCCGGGAGCTTCCGCTGGCGGTACACGCCGCCGCCGCCGGGAGGGTTTCAAGCTTTTGGGACACAGTGGAAGAGAGGAGACCGAAGGTATATGTGCTGGGCCTGGGCTTTGCTAATCTTGTCGGCTCTGAGCACATGCAGATTTGGGCCTATTCTATGCGGCTCGACTGAAAGCCACCTTCGGCCTTTGACATGACACACAGTGGAAGAGAGGAGACCGAAGTCCAGCTCTCCATCCGCCGGACACCGGTAACCCTCACGCCGGCACGCCGCGCCGGAGCGCCACGATCCACCTCCGGAAGCGCATGATCTCCTCCTCACCCGGACACGAACCCGCGGCCCTTGCCCCCACATCTCCCCTCTCTTCTATCCCCACCGCCTCCTCTCCGCCACCAAATGCGTCGCTGCAACCCCGTTCGCCGTCGAGGACTACCTCGTCGCCACCTGCGGCCTCACCCGAGCCCAGGCCCTGAAGGCGTCGAAGAGTGTCCCCCATCTGAAGGACGCCTCGAGGCCCGACGCGGTCGTCGCCTTCCTCTCCAATCTCGGCCTCTCCAGCGCCGAGGTCACCGCCGCCGTCACCAGAGACCCCAAAGTCCTCTGCTCCGACGTGGAGAGAACCCTCACCTCCCGCGTCGCCGAGCTCACCGACCTCGGGCTGTCACGTCCAGAGAACATCCGCCTCCTCATCGTTGGCATGAACCAATTCCGCCACGGCTCGCTTCGCCTCAATCTTGAGTTTTGGATCTCGGTCTTTGGCTCCCTCGACGAGCTCATGCAGGCGCTCAGAATTAACGCCGCTCTCCTCAGCCAAAGCATTGAGAAGGTGTGCAAGCCCAACTTGGCGCTCCTTCAGAAATGTGGTAAAGTGTTTCTGATATCCCCAACAGCTTCATGTCCCGGGTGCTCACCGCGGACCCTAAGAACCTGCAGGAAGCTTTGGCTTGCCTTCATGAGTTTAGAATCCAGCAGGGCTCGCAATCGTTCTTCCTCGGGCTTTGTACATTTGCAATCCTTGGCAGTGAGAGGATAACCAAGAGTATACAGCTGTTTGAGAAGCTTCGGATGGTCAAAGGATCATATAGTATCAGCGGTGAAGGGGGGCCCGAATATATTGGGTTTCACCGAGGAAAGGGTTCGAAGAAGCATGGAATTCTTGATCGGGGTTGTTGGATTGGAGGTACCATACATCGCACAAAGGCCAACGCTGATAAATTATAGCATTGAACGTCGGTTGCTGCCACGGAACTGTCTGATGAATTTTCTCAGGGCAAAGGGGCTGTTCAATGACAAGCCTACCTTCTTTTCTGTTGCCTCTATAAGCGATGATATATTTCGGCGACGATACGTGCATCCTTACGAGGAGAGCTTTCCAGGGCTTGCTGCTGCTTTTGCTTCGAGCCGTGCTGGAGAAAACCAATGGGAACAGCTATATAAGATGACAGGCGAAAATAGAGAGAGCTGACACTTGTTCTGGGAAGTACCATTAGGAACCTGTTGCAAGCTTTGTTTTTCATCCCCATGGCCAGTCGTTTTGAAATCTGATGTTCTAGCATTTTGCTATTGGTAACTGACTTAAGTGTTATTAAATGTTCAATTAGTGGTATATTTCTTTCAGCTTCTATCTTGCTGCCTCCCTTCTGAGAAAGAACTTTTGATGTGATGGCATCCTTACAAGTTTATTTATTAACTTGCAAGGATTGCCTCAAGTCTGAGCCCAACTTCTTTAGTGGACAATTGGGAGACTTGAGTGATCCTGAAAATGGAATTTTAGTCCTGCTAATCACAATGGTACTTGACTGGGCTACGCTTTTGTTGACATCGCATTCGGATGAATTTGGTTGCCTCCAAAATGGAATTAGAAAGTTGTCCATAGCTTCTCGCCCAGACAGGAGCCATCAGACCCTTAACAAGCTGTCCACACAGCCTCGAGAGTTTCAAGCTTCAATTGAAATAAACAGGACATATATTTTGAGAGAGGCGCAGCCCAGATCTTTCTATCTGCATGTGTTCTGTTATGTGGGCCATAGGGCTTAGAAGAGCAGCTGCAGATACTGTTCAGGGTTCACCCACATCCATAAGACGCAGTTGTGTGCCCATAAGTGACCAGGTATTAGGTTTGATCATTTGAAAGTTTTTTTTTCTCTTTTGTCTTTTAGATATGGTCTTTTAAGAGTATTTTAATCTCAATTCATTAGTTCCATAGGGGTGAAGTAATCCCTTATATATAAAAAAGATACAATCTATCAACAAAGACACTAGCAAGAGCTCCAATGGTTCTTTTAATCCCTCCAGTAATCCTCAACACATAACAATATGCATTTTAATGTTATGCTTAACTTGATCTATTTAATACTTTAGTCCCCCTCCCCAGCAGATACACACATTCAAGCTTGGATGCTGTATATAGTGTGAGATTATGTAAACTAAATTTTGTTACTGATTGTATTGTTTGAAATTACTCCTGCATGAATGTCTTTTCACTAAATCTGTTGCATTATGATGTGGTGTCCCCTTTTTTTCTTGAGGGAGGGAGGGAGGGCTGCAACCACCAGATTGTAGTTATTCGGTCATAGTTGGCAACATTAGGAAAGTTTACCCTCCAAAAGATGTAAATGCTGAGAAATTTACTGTCAAAGGCTTCTCACTTTCTATCCATCAAGGGCAATGTTTTGGACTTCTTGTCGTAAATGGTGCTGGAAAACCTCTCTCATTGGCGTGTTGTGTACATCATATTTTGTATAGTAAATTTGTTGAGCCTTTTATTGACCTTCAGAAGTAGCATGTTAATGTTATGTTTGCTATCTACAGTATTATTATTTTAATCTCTTGGAAGGAAAATGAAATTCAAATTTCCCTTTTTCAATAAATTTTGAACAATTTTAAGAGTGCAGCCATACATTTGTTTAAACAAGGGGGCATCAATTTCAGAGGTTCATGTAGGAATTTATTTATAACCCATGATTTTGCACCCTTTTTTTGCATAGGTCTATTTTTAGCTTTTGTTCATGTGCAAATAGGATTGATTTTTTATTGCCACTTTACATTACCAAATTTTCTTAACCTGACAACATCTTACTGGATTTAGGACTGAAAACGGTAACGATAATTTCCGTTTACCGGGAATCATTTTTGAAAAATTACCGACTTTTGCTCCTAAATGGAAGCGGTGACGGTAACCGAGGAAACGAAAATGAGAATGGTAAAAACTATACGGTAATGAAAACGAAAATGATTTGCCTCACTTCCGACTGATTTCAAAAAATACCGTAATTGGCCAGTATTCTATCGTCGATAATTACCGTATCCCAGGCAGGCCACAAGCCCACAGCGCCATCCCTGCCTCTTCCTGAACCATAGACTAGGCCTAGCCTGCTGAGTGTTGAGCGCTCCCCTTGCCACCCTTATCCCCACGCAAGAATCATGTCTCTTGCATTATTTCTCGTTTCTATCCTTTTTTAAGTCCAAGTATCGAACTAAGAACTTGGTTCGGTTACGATATACTGGTACGTAAGTTTGTGAGTGGCTAATATGTCTATGTGGCTGTCAGCTTGTGTGCTCGTGAGATCTAACTCTTAAGTCCAGGACGTCAGAACTTGTGGTTTTGGGCTTATCTTCTGGTTCTTTTGTATCAAGTATAACTATGTGCTAAGCTATATAGCTATTGTCATGCGCTGCAGATTGACGTGTTTATCGTATTTCAGATACCGCTACGATGATTTTCGATAGTTGTCAATGCACTTTCGAACAAATAGTTTCGTTTCCGCAATTATCGGAATATCGACACCGTATTCGTTTCCGCCAATATCGTATCAATTTCATTTTCGAGAAAATATTGTGAAAATGAAAGTGATTTGGCCTCCTATCAATCGTTTCCGACCGTTTTCAGCCCTAACTGGATTTACTAAACCTACATCTGGTATGGCTTATATGGATAGAATGGACATACAAAAGGACATGGGCGAGATTTATACAAGAATAGGTGTTTGTCCAGAATTTGAATAATTACAGCTCTTCACACACTATTCTCCCCACTTTTTTTCAAAATGAGAGAAAATCCTTTACAAGATTTGGAACTATATTCTTGTCTTACGATCTAATTTGGAATGTTTTTTTACTTGTGATCACTACTACTTTTTATATTCTCCATGCAGCTTACTGTGGGAAACACTAACTGGCCGAGAGCATCTGATGTTCTATGGCAGACTAGAGAGATTGAACGGTGCAGCATGAGCTAGGTACTGCATGGATACAGAGTCCTCTGCTATTTTATTTTCACACTGTTTTCATGAGTCTGATATAGGAGTACTTCCATTTCCTCTGCTAAATAGTTGTCCTAGCGTTGCAACTAGCAAGGAGTAAAAGGCTCAACCGCTCAAAGCTTTCTTTCTATTTCTTTTCTCCAGGCTGCAGAACAATCTCTAAAAGCACTGCACATATTTGAGGGGTGGTGTGGTGTTGCTGACACTCGCGTTTCACGATACAGCGGTGGCATGAAAGACGCCTCAGCATTGTCATTTCTCTATGATCATGACCCTAAGGTTAACCTGTTCTGTGTAGTTGCCCATGATCCACAAAATAGACAGTATTCCTTTTGAAGGCACAATAATAGGCATTTGCCTTTTTTTTAAGATTACACAGATTATAAAGAATATATTATTTGGAACATTTTGGTCTGAAGATTAGTGGAACAAAGTCATCCTTAATTAGGAATGTAGCTAAGGACAAATCGGCTGGTACGTTTTTCGGCTGGTTTTAACAATGTTACGCGAGGAAGAATAAGCTGAAATAAGCTAAAACCGACAGGAAATTAGTTCAAGCGAATAGGGCCAGACCTGCTGTGTTTTGGTCCCTCGGCATGAGCGGGTGCCGCTGCATCACCTGATTTTTTGTTTTTTAGCCCTTTTTTGAAAGTTTGTCATAAATATGTCCCTAGAAGTATGCTTTCAAAATCTAGACCCTTATCTCGGCGTCAGAGTAATTGACGCCGATCTAACACGTCTCGGCGCCGGCATATTTGGCGCCTAGGTTTCGGGGCCACGTAGGCGTCGACGCAAACGTGGCGGTGACCTGGCAGGCAGTACGACGCCATAGATCTCGACGCCGAGCTCGGCGCCAAAGATCTTGGCGCCGATCCTGCCTTACAGGTGGGTTCATTTTCTTTCTCTCTTCCTTCCTCTCCTCTCTTCCTTTCCCGTTCTCCCTCACCCCTCTCTCTCTCTCTGTCTCTGTCGCCCGACGCCGCCATCGTCATCGTCGTCCTTCCCACCTCACAAGACTGCCACCGGCCCAAGCGCCGCTGCGCCCGCCGCATGCACGCCGACCACCAGCGCCCGCCCAAAAAGATTGTTGCGCCGTCCTCCTCGTCATCAAACCCGAACGGCCGCAACCGCGCCGGCCCCTGCTGCGCCACCCTCCCTTGCCCGCTCCACAGGGGCAGCGAGGGCCGTTTACCGGTAGCGGTGTGCCGGTTGCAGGCCTGCTATGGCCGCTCGCCCCCGCCCGCTTGGCCGCTCCGGTTGCCGGGCACAAGCACACGTGGGCGCACTATAGCTTCCCCATTGGCTATCTTTGCCTCCTATCGACCGGTTGCGCCTCCCCTGCACTCGAGGTACATTAGTTTTTTAATTTTGTTCTTATTTAACAATGGTTATTAGTTAGTTAGTGTGGTAGTGATTTAGATAGGTAGAAAGATATTTAGATTGATAGGTTGATTCATGGATACTTTACATAGTTAGATATATAGTTAGTTACATAGTTATATAGTTAGTAAAATAGATAGTTAAATATTTATATAGTTAGTTATATAGTTAGATAGTTACTTGACATAGTTAGTTAGTAGTACTTAGTAGTTAGTAGTGAATTGATAGTATCTATTTATTTAGTTAGTTATTACGTACTAGAGACCTTGTACTTAGTATGTTTCATTTATATTGGACTAAAGAAAATGTGCTTCGTTATGTGTATGAACTATATGGACAACCTAGTGAGAGCATATATCATGAGGCACCGTGGAAAGAGATCGATATGGATATGTTGAGTTTATTGACATACAAAGTGTGCGTGTGTTATTCAATGAGAAGCCTTCATTTAGTGAGTTGATTGTAAGGGCTCGGGAGGAGCTACATTGCCTTGATGATGATGGCATCACAGTTGAGGGTGTACTTCACCTAGGTCCCCTCCTAACATCCTTAGGAAGATGATCCCAATTGGGTGTGTGTGTCGATCAGTGGGAGAACTATGTGAGATCGGCTATGAAGAACCAGTTCCAAAGTTTGGACGTGGTTGTGCGTCGGGTGTTAGTTGATCCCATCCCTCATGGGTTTGTCCCGCCAATAGATCAGCAGGCACACTCTGACCCTCCCATCCAAGAACCTGATATGGATGTGGAGGTTGCACCTACGGTTCCCAATGCTCAATCTGCCCCCAATGAGCTAGTTGGAGATGCTTGTCAGACTCATGATGTTATGGCAGATCCTCCTCATGAGATCCCTTTGACATAGAATCATCCAAGTAAGTGTTT